TCGCCACTGTGGTGGAATTCAGTTACACACAGAGAGAAGGAGAGGCAGAGAAAGAGAGAGAGAGAGAGGTCGGTCTTCCATCCGCAACGGCTAGAGCTGGGCTGATCCAAAGCCAGGAGCCAGGAGCCTGGAGCCTCTTCCGGTTCTCCCACATGGGTGCAGAGGCCCAAGCACTTGGGCCATCTTCCACTGCACTGCCTTCCTAGTCCATAGCAAAGAGCTGGATGGGAAGTGGAGTAGCTGGGACTCAAACTGGTGCCCATATGGGATTCTGGCACTGCAGGCGGTGGCTTTACCCGCTATGCCACAGCACTGGCCCCGACATGTTGGATTAGTGGAATTATTTCCAATGAGGCCTGAGAGACCGTTTCTCAACTATTTGACTCACAGAGCCTGTCCATAGTTAGCAGGTGGCAATAGATTTCCAGGTGGCTCCTTCGCCCCTACGTCAATACTTCGGGACATTCTGTCCTAACCAGAAGCAGGTGGTACCCGCCTTTAGTGAGCTGCTTACCAGAACTGAACCTGGAAAAGCAGAGCTTGAGAGGCCAGGGATTTGCCGATGCCCATGGAAGTGGGAAAACGCACGGAGGCTCATGGGATGCAGCAGGAGGCCCCGGAAAACATTCCAAGACATTGGAAACTCTAAGGGGCTCACAGAGCTGTGGGGATCTGGGGCTGGCCAGCACCTGCTCTCCTGTGCACACTCTCTCTTCCTGGAGGGCTAAATCTCTCCTCTACGCATTCTTCCAACTGCACACAAAGACATAACTCTTTTTTTATTATTATTATTTTTGACAGGCAGAGTGGACAGTGAGAGAGAGAGACAGAGAGAAAGGTCTTCCTTTTGCCGTTGGTTCACCCTCCAATGGCTGCCATGGCTGGCACGCTGTGGCCGGCGCACCGTGCTGATCCGATGGCAGGAGCCAGGTACTTCTCCTGGTCTCCTATGGGGTGCAGGGCCCAAGCACTGGGGCCATCCTCCACTGCCTTCCCTGGCCACAGCAGAGAGCTGGCCTGGAAGAGGGGCAACCGGGACAGAATCCGGCGCCCCGACCGGGACCAGAACCCTGTGTGCCGGTGCCGCAAGGCGGAGGATTAGCCTATTGAGCCACGGCGCCGGCCTCAACAAAGCCATAACTCTTAAAGCCAAAGATCTCTGCCAATAAGAGATTCATTGAGCTGTCAGAGACGCTACCCAGAGAGAGAGGGCCAGGGCCTGGGACAAGTTCGCATGACAACCAGCAGCAGGGCCACATGGCTGGCCTGGCCCACTGGACCAGAACTCGGAGAATGTTTGTAAGGGAACCTTGGGGAAGGCGGCCATCCGTTGTTTACATTGAGCCTACCTGGGCTGTAGATAAAAAAGACAGGACTACTCGAGACACAGGAAGGGCGCCCACAGCAGTAATTGGACCTGGCTGGGTTGTGGTTAGGCATCCGGCAGGTGTTTGTGTAACCAGGCGGGGCGCCCTGGTGGTTTCCACATCTGTAAGCAGCCTTTCTGTTGGCTTCCCCCACAGCTATTAGCTGATTGCTCTTCTTATCTCTCCCCTCTCCACCCTTTGTCATTAATTTCAGGACATCTAGATTTTTTTTTTTTAGCATGGATGATGACTAATGCAGCAAAAATTCTTTCATCACTACTGGATTTTAAAATATCCTTCAAATCTTCTACCATTATTTTTTAAAAAAATATTTATTTATTTACTTATTTGAGAGGTAGACTTCCAGACAGAGAGAGGGAGAGATACAGAGAGAGGTCTTCCATCCGCTGGTTCACTCCGCAGATGGCCATAATGGCTGGAGCTGAGCCAATCCAAAGCCAGGAGCCAGGAGCTTCCTCTGGGTCTCCCACGTGGGTGCAGGGGCCCAAGCACCTGGGCATCTTCCATTGCCTTCCCAGGCCACAGCAGAGAGCTGGATTGGAAGAGGAGCAGCCAGGACACGAACTCGTACCCACAGGGATGCTGGTGCTGCAGGCAGAGGCTTAGCCTACCCCGCCACAGCACCGGCCTCTCTATCATTACTTTTGCACTTCTTTCTTTTTTATTTATTTATTTATTTGAAAGTCAGAGTTACACAGAGAGAGAAGGAGAGGCAGAGAGAGGTCTTCCATCTGCTGATTTACTCCCCAGATGGCCACAATGGCTGGAGCTGTGCCAATCTGAAGCTAGGAGCCAGGAGCCAGGAGCTCTCTCTGGGTCTCCCAGGCGGGTGCAGGGGCCCAGGGACTTGGGCTATCTTCTACTGCTTTCCCAGGCCATAGCAGAGAGCTAGATCGGAAGAGGAGAAGCCAGGATTTGAACCGACGCCCATATGGGATGTCGGCACTGTAGGCAGCGGCTTTATCCACTAGGCCACAGTGCCAGGCCCCCTTTCTTTTTTTTTTTTAAAAAGATTTATTATTTATTTGAAAGTCAGAGTTACACAGAGAGAGGAGAGGCAGACAGAGAGAGAGAGAGAGTTCTTCCATCCGCTGGTTCACTCCCCAATTGGCTACAATGGCCAGAGCTGGGCTGATCCAAAGCCAGGAGCCAGGAGCTTCTTTCAGGTCTCCCATGTAGGTACAGGGGCCCAAGGACTTGGGCCATCTTCTACTTCTTTCCCAGGCCA